GCCCCGCCCCACCCGAGGCACCCTGGCCTCACCCCAGACCCCACCTCCAGGCTTAGCAAATTGTATTAGTTTTTAAATTTTTTTGTCATAAAAGTAATACATATTCATGTAAAAAATTAAAAATAAGCAAATAGAATAAATTTTACTGCAACTTCGTCTCCCCTAACAAAAATTATTTTTGGTGTACCTCCTTCCTGTATTCCATGTGTAAACTCTCTCGGGCAGCAGCAGAGACCACACGCACTTGTTCCCTACCCAGAGCTGGGCCTGACTCCGCCTCCTCCTGGGTCCCTGGGGTCACCCGCCTCCACCTCCACCTACCTACCCCAGCGTTCCTGTGTCTCAGCGGGGGCTGCCCCGTTGGCACAGGCAGGGTCTCCTGGGGGCTCCTGTGACCCATGACCAGCAAGACTCTCACTGTTACTGTTTGCTTCCCAAGCCCCTGACCCTTGGGGTCCGGCAAGGGGTGGACATCTGGAAGGTGAGGACAAAAGTCAGCTGCGTCCCTGTCTCTGCCAGCCACGGAGGCTCCCACGCCCACAGGGCAACACTCCAGCCCTGAGCCTCAGTGGGGGCGGGTGGGCAGCGGAGAGAAGGGCAGTGTCCACACTGTGTCCCCCAAGAGCCTGTGACACAGGACGCACCCCCACCAAGGTAGCACCTCTGGTGGCATCCACATCCTCCCGAAGCGTCTGCTCCTGGGCTCTTCAAACCTGTCTCCATTCGCACATGCAGCCTGGCACCCGCCCCCTCTGCCTCTGTTTTCCTTCCCCACCATTGTCTACAGTGTACCTGTTCTTGGTCAATTCATCCAGCTCTGCCAGACATAGACCACTGTCCCCAGCTTCCTGCACGCTCTCCAGAGGGCCTGCTCGGGATTTCAGGAGCTAATCGAACTAACAGGGGACACAACCCGCGTCCTTGTCCAGCTGCACCTGCTACTGACCCAGTCCTCTCTTCCCTGGAGGTTGCTGCTTGCAGTGGGCAGATTAGTGGTCCCCAAAGACATGTCCATGTCCTCGTCCCCAGAGTTTGTGGACATCACTTCCTAGGACAAGAGGTGTGACCAAGGACTGGGAAAGGATTAGCCAGGTGGTCCTGAGAGGGTCAGGGAGAGACAAGGCGACTTTAGAGACAGACCCACAAACGGCGATGCAGCCATGGGCAGAGACGGGAGGTATGCGGCCAGCAGCCAAGGAAGTTGGAGGTGCCCGGAAGGGTGCTACCCCAGAGCCCCAGAGGGAGTGTGGCCCCGCACACTCTGATTTCAGACTTCGGCCTCCAGACTGGGGAGAATGAACTGCTGTGATTTGGGGCCCCTGGTTTGTGGTCCTTTGTTAGGGTGTCTGCGGGGCCTGCTTCCTCTGTCTCCTCCCCTGCATCAGGTCCCTCAGCGCCTCCCACCAAAAACCGGGGACTGCCAGCCCTCGGGGACCTGTCTCCCTGCAGCCACCCCACTTTCTCCAGACTTGCTGTCCCCCACCGTCCCCGGGCTGTGGCCAGCCTGGGCTCAGTCCTCAGGGCTGCCCTCTGAGGTGACACGTGTGGCCCTGGAGCTTTGTCTTTCACGAATCTCCTGCCACCCTCGTCTGTCTCTTTTTGATTCCGGCCTCGGCATGTGCACAGGTGGTACTCCGGATCCTGCCCCAGGCCCACTGATCCCACTCCTCTGGCAGGTCCTCCCCCACAGCCACCACCGTCCAAACCCCAGTTCTCAACATCATTTTAGTGGAGATACTGTTCAGCCGCTTGAAGTATACAATTTGGTGGCACTATGTGTATTCGGAATAGTGCCGCCATAGGCACAAGTTGAGGACATCTGCATCCTCCGGGGAGAAATCCTGCTCCCGGGAGCTCACTCCCCAAGCCTCCCCCAGCCCCTGGCAACCAGCCGTCTACTTTTTGTCCCCTTGAATTTGACTGCTCTGGACGTTTCCTACCTACGGTATCACATGGCACGTGGTCTTTCCTATCTGGCCGCCTCACTTACTGTTCCTGGGTTCGGCCACGCTGTTGCAAGACCGCACTCCTGTTTGAGGCCGAGGACTGCTTGTCACGTGGATGGACAGGCCTTTGTACCCATCAGTTAAGGGGCATTTGGATTGTTTCTGCCTTTTGGCTATTATGAGAAATGCATATACACGTTTCTGTGTGGACATGTTGTGGGTCATACGAGAACTCTAGGTTTAGCACGTGAGGCGCCACTGGATTGTCTTCCACAGTATCTTACGTTCCCACCAGTGCACGAGGGGTTCAGTTTTTCCACATCCTGTGTCTTACTCACTATAGTCATACTAGTGAATGTGAAGTGGCATCTCATTGTGTTTTTTTCTTTGTAATTTTTTTAAATGTTTTATTTATTTTTGAGAGAGAGAGAGAGAGAGAGAGAGCAAGAGCACGAGTGGGGGAGGAACAGAGAGAGAGGGAGACACAGAATCTGAAACAGGCTCCAGGCTCTGAGCTGTCAGCACAGAGCCCAACGCAGGGCTCAAACTCAGACCATGAGCTCATGAACTAAGCTGAAGCTGGACGCTCAACCGACTGAGCCACCCAGGCGCCCCTCATTGTGTGTGTGTGTGTGTGTGTGTGTGTGTGTGTGTGTGCACGTGTTTTTTAAATAACCTCTATGCCCAATATGGGGCTCAAACTCATGACCCCTGAGACCAA